TTGGTGGGTTGCAGCCAGCTGAGCCACCCTGGGTGATTTTCTAGGCATGTCTTGGGGCACCCTGGTTATGTGCCCCGATAGAGTTTTAGTAGTGGTGTCGATGATGCTCCTCGGTGACTCTATAGATGGGAAGCTGTGGTGAACAACTTGCTTGCTACAGCATCCACAAGCTCGAGAGGTGCGGTAGTGGTGGGCGCCTCCTACTTGCGCTTGAGGAACACACGGCAGTGTCCTCCATGACACGCTTGGTATCCTCCTCGAGCTCCCTGGCTATGGCGTCATGTGCATTAGGACAGCATTGGCGCTCAATGTCGACAAGGCGGATGTCGAGCTTGGTGAGGTGCATGTTGATCTCATTGAAGCAGTTGCTCTTGTTGATGGAAAAGATGTTCATCGTCTTCTTCATCTCTTCGGTTATGGTCGCGGTGGAGGTGGCCATAGGATTGATCTGGTCTTCGGATACTAGGTGTCACAGCCTTGATCGGGAAGGCTAACTACAATGGCATGGCTAGGGCTGGCGGGCAGTGGCTGCTGGCGGCGTGCGGCAGGAAGGAGGTGGCATGGTGCGGGTGTGAGGGAAGGGGCGGCGATGCTAGGAGCAAGAGAGAGAGAGAAAGGAGAGATTTGTTTAAAGAGCAAGGCTTTATTTCCTTCTTGAGTTGGAATAGTTACAATGCCCCTATATTTATAGTCCCTAGCGGACTTGCACACCAAGCAATCTATCAACGAGTCCTTATAGATTTGGATTCTCCTTCCCCAAAACCAAACTCTCTTCTTTCCTAACAATTCTCAACTCCTTTTTCCCACTTCCTAAATATCTCTATTTTCCTAAATCATCTAGAATCCGAGGTGACGTAGAGGTGGAGGGCTGCTGCCCCCCTATGTCACACCCCCTCCTGGTGCGCGTGCCCTGCGGCCTCGGTTGCCGCCAGGCCACGGGCTCCTAACAGCCCATTTGGCTCGCTATGAGGGGCCTCCTTTGGGAGCATGACATGTCTCCATGAAATGTTTATAGGAGATGAAGTAAATACCTCAGCTATAATGTTTTGCTTGCATCTAGTGATGTCGTATAAGCAAGGATATTGTTCGCTCAAAGGTGAGTTCCCTAGCCACTTGTCCACCCAAAATCACACTTGCGACCCATCTTTGATTGTGAATGATCCAAAACGTTGAAAATCTTGTTTCACTTTCATGAGACCAGCCCAAAAATGTGAGTCCCCACTTTTCTAGTAAGCTTGAGATGAAGTTTTAGAGCCTAAATACTTGTTTCGGATTAATTGCTGCCAAGTCCCATCTATCGTTAGTAATTTGAAAAGCCATTTACTCAGAAGTGCACTATTTAATATCTAGATCATGAATTCCTAACCCCTTGATCCTTTGGCTACCAAAGTATGCTCCACTTGGCAAGGCGATACTTTCTCTTTTGGTTTTCTCTTTGCCAAAAAAAATCTAGAGCAGAAGTAGTCTAGTTTCTTCAGCATCACTCGTGGAATGGCAAAGAAAGACATCATGTACAAAGGTAAACTACTCAACACTGAATTAATCAATGTTACACATCCCCTATTAACATATGTTTCCCTTTCTAGCTACTTAACCTCCTCTCAAAATGTTCTTCTGCTACCATCTTCCCGTCCCCATTTCTCAACTTTCTAAAATGGATTGGTATCCCTAAATAAGTCATAGGAAAATCTCTAGATTTACATACAAAAATCTCAGTATATTGGGCCTCTAGGTCTCGAGCCTCCCCGAAATAGTACACTTTGCTTTTATTGAAATTTAAGCTTGCTCAAAAGCATAAAGTAAAAGCTTCACATTTCGGGCGTGCTCTAGATCATGTTCCATAAAGAGAATTGTATCATCAACATATTGCATGATTGATAAACCACCGATCACTAGATGCGGCAACACTCCCGTTAATTGTCCATCTTCTTAGGCTCTATTGATGAGGATTGTCAATATGTCAACAACAATCACTACTACAGAAAGGTCATCACCGCTAGTTCTAGACCCCCCTTCACCGACGGTTTTGGCCCTCACTAGTAAAAGTCGTTAGAGATAGTATGTCTTATCACCGCTGGTTGCGCACCGGCGAAGGTATTGGTCATCACCACTGGATCAGCGTACGACGATCCGGAGGTGTTGTCGGTTACTTCATCACCGCGTCAGAGTACGATATGGTGGCAATTGGTCGTGTACCACTTCCGACGTTGCGGACGATCCGACGGCGATGACGAGGACAACAGCGTCGGTTCAGCGTACCATTCGGCGGTGATGGACGAGACATCAACGTTGGTCTGGGTTATGATTCGGCGTTGATGTAGTTACCAGCACAGCCGGTCACCACTCGATCCGGTAGTGTCGTTGATGCTGGTATCACCATCGGTCTGGCGTACTATGCGGCGGTGAAGCCCTCTCCATCACCGCTATACTTGCGGTGTTGTTTTTGCTACCATCACCACCGGTCGATTCCATATCACCAACGATTGTACATGCCTTCTGCATTTTCCAGAATCAATTGTAATAATAATAGAAATATTATTTTGATTACACCAGACTCAGGTCGTATATATATACACAATGTCATAACATATACATCACTGCCAAGACACAGTTCCATAAAACACATCCAATCACAAGAATGACATGTTTGAGAACACAATAACCAAAACAAACTGGCATTACAAGGTGAAAAACATTAGTACCTTCATTACATACGACAATATGATCTCCATCTAGATTCATGACTATGTCGACAATGAAACTGCCAAGGTATTCTGGCAACCCAAGTGTAGTCGGTCAACACTGTTGTACCTTGACCATAGTTTCTGCAACACAAGAAACACAATTAAGACAGACCTGTGTGACAAGCTCATCATGAGAGTGACATATAAATATATATAATGATCAAAGCTAACATTAATCTAATATTTGGCCTAATGTATACAAGTAGCAGCTAGCTATCTTGTCTTGTTCAGCGTGACAAATGTTGGATATGGTCTCATGGTATCCTCGGAGAGTCAGAAATAGTGAGAGTGCATTCCTCTAAGATGATGTCAAAAAGGACATAATGGTTGCTGCATTCACAATGTCCCCATCAAAAATAGCTAGGCTGAACCATTAAACATGCAATGTACTACAAAATGAGGCATTTGCAACAAACTTACATGTCATTTTGTAGGCTACAAGTATAGAGGATATCTTACTTGTTAAACAACAAGAACTTTGTCAATTCATATAACAACAATCATTGGCCGGGTTTAAGAAGCCCATCTCAACCTACATGTGAGTATCTTTAACCTACAGAACAATTAAATGTGTAGTTAGACACATTCACCTCGGTGTTAAAATAAATGTATTTATATATACTTACGAAACTAACATGGTGGATCCACAACCTGATATGCCTGCCAAGGGCAAACTTTTGAAGGTAGCTTGCTAGTGGTAAAAGTAGAGCTAGAGCAAATTGCTATTTCACTATCTTATTGTCTAACAAGTTGCTCTAGTCAATTTGTAGAATTTTTATTAGGCTATTCACCCCCTCTAGCCATTTAGGACCTTTTAGCTAGCGGCAATAACACATATCTTAGTCGGTTTGATGTTCCATGTGACGGAGGAATGACACCCCACTAGCATCGTTGCATCGATGGTTGAACCATCGGTGCTAGAAGTTTCATCTGCCGGTTTAATTCCTTTACAGGCCTCGCTATCGATCTGACCAACGGTGGAAACATCTCATCGTCGCTTCTATACTCTACGGTAATGAAAGTGGCGACATGGTGATTGCTCAATCTATAGTAGTGAGGCAGAGAGAGAGATTTGTTTAAAGAGCAAGGCTCTATTTCCTTCTTGAGTTGAAATAGTTACAATGCTGCTATATTTATAGTCCCAATTGGACTTGCACACCAAGCAATCTATCCTTATAGATTTGGACTCCCCTTTCCTAAAACAAAACTCTCTCCATTCCTAAACAAAATCTCCACCTATTATTCCTATATTTCCCTAAATATATTTATTCTCCTAAATCATCTCTAGAACCAAGGATGACGTGGAGGTGGAGGGCTGCCGTCCCCCCCTTGTCGCGCCTCCTCCAAGAGCGTGCGTGTGCCCCGTGGCCTTGGCTGCCACCGGGTCATGGACTCCCGCCGGCCCCCTAGGCCCACTATGGGGGCCTCCATTCGGGAGCGTGACACATGCATTATAATCCACCCACCTCTAGAAATAACATTTTCACAGGTGTCCTTTTAACCCTCTTTTATTAGTGATTAACACAGACTATCATCCCAGCAGTTAGAATGTGAAAATGTTAAAATATAGTAAAGCTTAATTACAATTAGAATGTAGTAAAGCTTAATTACAATGTGGGATCTTGGTCTGCCTCTAGAAAGCATTTTAGGTCACCTTTCGACAGTTAGAATGTAGTAAAGCTTAATTACAATTAATTCTTAAGAGCAAATCAACAAAAAGCAAGGTTCACTAATATTTTTATTGGTTGTATTCTAAAATGTTTTCACTTAGTTTCTAACCGATGGATCAATATTAAATTAAATGACTAATATTTTTCACACCCATCTTCTTATTGTTGTTCTTCTTTGGCCCACACAATGGCCAATCACCACTCACCCTAACCCCCATTCCCACACCATCCTTTATTCACTAACTCTCTCTATATATATTTGGAAATTTTTCCTCAACCCTATCTAACCTATTCCCCTCCCTCACCAACTACGGCGGCGCCGCCACCACTCATACTCTCTATCTCTGCCCACACCATTGCCTCTATGCACTCCACCTCCATTGTTTGATCGGCTATATCTCGTGATACCATCCAAACAACGCCCATAGAAAGAAATCCATAAACTTCATCCTTTCTAGGGTGTTGTAGACAAGATAGAAGACTCGCCGCAATCTCGATCTATATATCCTAGTCATGTTGCACAAATCCGTCAAAATTGCCTGTTGAAAGAGATCCATAAACTCCATTCCTAAGGAGCATAGTCAAGATGGAGGACGCCCCTGCTACAAAGAAGAAGAGACTTCAAGGTCCGCGTCATAAAGAATCTACTCCCAAAGAAGGAAATGAAGACGATGGTGACCACATAAGCTGCCTCCCCAATGGCATCCTAGGTGAAATTATCTCCCTCCTTCCTACCATGGATGGTGTGCGTACAAAGTGTCTATCCTCCAAGTGGAGCCGCCTTTGGCTCTCTGCCCCTCTTAATTTTGACTATTGTGATCTCCAAGATCCCAATGATGATAAAGACCTTGTGAGCATCATTTCCAGCATTTTTTATGCTCACCCTGGACCTGCCCGATGTTTTTGCATCCCTGCACAACTTGGCTTCAGTCCCCACCCTTAATGGGCTACAAGAACTTGAGTTCCACATCCCAGAAGTTGACTTTACATTGTCACTATATCCCCCACCACCAGCATCCATCTTTCGCTTCTCATCTACACTCTGTATTGTCTCCTTTGGTGGATGCTGCCTCCCAGATATCATGGCCAATCTGCTCCAATTCCCCAACCTCCAGCAGCTTACACTATTTGATGCTATTATCTCCGAGGAGACCCTGCATGCCATGCTTGATAGTTGCCCCGCACTCAAGAACTTGCTGATGAAATACAATGAAGGTTTTCGCTGTGTTCGGATCAATTCCCGATCCCTTAAGAGCATAGGTGTTCATACCGATTCTTTTCGGCATGGTCCCACTCTAGAGGAGCTTATTATTGAGGATGCCACATTCCTTGAGAGGCTTATCAGTTTTGAGCGATATAGTAGGTTGCACATATCAGTGATCTCAGCACCAAAGCTAGAAACTCTAGGCTGCATTTTTTAAATAGTAACTAGACAATGCTCACTCTTGGATCTATGACTTTTCTGGTAACTAGAACCCTCTCTGAAGTCACATTGTTCACACTTACATGTTACTTGTATTGCGTATTCCAAGTCATTGTGAATTATGGTCTGTTTTAGGCACAGAAATTCCATTGGACACATTTGAGCACCCTGCACCCACATTGATCTTCATTCAGAGAATTTTGTTTTATAACTTGTTATGATTCCCTAACATAATGTTTTATTTAACCAAGGGAATAAGTTCTGTTGACATGGGAGCAATGGTGCCGATGCATACTGTCAAGGTCTTATCTGTGTTCCCTTTGTCTCTCTGTCTGGATGATGTTCTCAATTTCATTAGATGCTTTCTGTGCCTGGACAAGCTGTACATCCTGCTGGTAATGTTTCTTACTTCAGTATATAGTTCACACATACAAAGTTAATTTGGTCTCCATAATGTTGTGGCCATCCTTGTTTTGATTTCTTGGTCCGAACTAATATTTCATACTCATTTTAACTTCCAGCTGTCTCGTGCACAAGGGCACACGAAACCGGTGGCGCCGTAAACACAGGAATCTAGTCAAATCCCTTGACCTTTGCTTGAAAACAATAATGATGACAAATTACCGGGGTGCAGCAGAACAATCAGAATTTGTGACATTCTTTGTGGAGAATGCAAGAATGCTTGAGTCTATGAGGTTTGTGGTCCCAAGCTGTTTCTATCGTGACAAGAACTGGATAAGAAGGCAGCATAGACAGCTCAAGCTGGACAAGAGCTCTTCCAGAGGTGCTACATTTACTTTCACAGACAATCAATGCCACCACAATATGATACATGTTTTGCGGGCCGGTGATCTGTCAGCAGCTGATCCGTTTGACTGTAACTGCTCAATCTGGCATTCATATGAAAAATTGTCGTACCTTAAATAATAATCTTGGTTGTTACTTTGCTTAAAACTGTATTGCATTCCTTTTCAGAAACACCCCTTGTAATCCCCTTCACATAAATAATGCTTCAAACTTGTTGTGTTTTCAATGTCAATACTCAGTCAGTCTGAAATTGGAACTAATTTTGTTATGAAGAAATAGTGTGCCTTGCAATGTTATAAGTGATGATCTTTGCTATAGTTGGGTATTACTTTATTTTTCAGTTAGTCTGTTATATGCAAATTGTGTCATACATTCTCTGTGATGCAATTGGCATGGAGGTGGTACCAGGCTGGTATCAATATGTATCTTAGTGTGTTAATGGCCTTTGCATGTCAGGTGGTTTTACTGGAATTGCCATCTTTTAATTTGGAAGTGTGTTTACATATCATTTTTAGTCTCTACGCACATTTAAGCTACCACTTTTAAAGTTTGTTCCAAGTGATCGATTCTTAGCAACTCCATGTGTATGGAAATCTGATGAACTTCCATGTATATATGTTTGAATTGATGCTACACATTTCTTGGTAAGAAGTGCTGATATGCCCTTCACTTCCTTTGTTTTGATTATTTTCCTTTCTTTATTTTCTTTGTTTAGTTAAATGTGTACTTTGGTCCTTATTCCTTCTAATCCAACCAACACCTCTTGTTTTCTGAAAAAGAAATCATCGCTCCATCCAAGCCATGGAAATTGCAATTAATTAGTTTGGCCTCAACAATGCTCTTCCCCAGAAAAATAACTAAAACATACTCTAAAGTCACCGGACTGCGCCTTCTCTCTTGAGTTAGAAAACTAGAAGAGAGTGCCGACCGCTGGTGCTAACATAAACTTAGGAGCAGGGTCATGGTTCTTGCCAGAAAGTAGCTTGGTGGGCTGTGGACAAATTCAGCATCCTGCCATCCACCAACGCATGGAGGTTCCGAAACATGTGATTGATTCAACATGATAATGCTAAAGAGGGCATTGGTTACCTGCTGTTGCTTCTGAAATTATTATGAGATATGAGTTTGGATTTGCAAAATAGTGGGATAAAGTTATTGCTGAACTAAGCATATTTTTTTAACGTAATGGCAAGAGTTCTGTCTTTCAATTAAGCTGGGGGAAAAGAGAGTTTATGTACAAACTAAGGTAGTCCAGGTTAGGAATATAAAACCCCCCCACCCCCCACCCCCCATAGCATGCAAGCTAGGGAAACGCACGGCCCAAAAGGTTAGGGGCATCGGCTACACATAATCGAGTGCTCTCTTTCTTTGCTCTATATCTTCCTTTATCCAAACTAAGCGTATATAATAAGAGCAAGGCTAAATAATACAGCCTACTGCTAGTTGTATGATCTTTGTGGCCAATCTCTCAGCTCACAGTTAGTTATTCAGTATTAATATATGGTCTTCTTTTTTCTCTCACAAAATTTCTTGATTCTTGTGCACGCTTGCCTTCTCTCTTCTCTTATCTTTCCTCCACTTCAGCATTTAGCACACCTACAGCATGATATTATACTTGTTCTAAGATGATATGTGTGGGGACACTCGGACATGTGGTGCTGGTGTGTCCGTTTGGTGGAGGATGATAAATGAGGAAATAAGAAGGCCAATGGAAATCTTGGGTCAAAATTTAAGGTGCAGCCGCTGAAAACGTGTCCAAATGTGGTATGCACCAGAGTAGACTGAATAGAGACTGAATTGGCATCTAGCCACCAGTACAAATATATGCTTGGTTTTAAGGCAACGACGGAGCATTGTGTTGACCACAGGAGCTCAAGCCTGTGTGGCGGGCTGCCGGCCACTTGGATGCATGCCCATCAAAACTAACTTCCGTGCTCAGTTGAGTGAGTTCATTCCCCTCCCTACCTCTCTTGCTTCCGCCATTGCTAGCTTTGTCTGACCATGTCACCTCACCATCAAAATTCCAGGTCCCTGTTTTCTTCTTATGCCACTGTGCGACCCCAAAGAAGGAGAGAACTGAAGCTGCTTTCATTGCCTGATTATTTCTCCTCCTGTTTCAACACTCCTCAGATCAGTTGTTGTCATTCAGGTCATCTCCGACTAGTCTCATCTCCAGGGCCCTGCGAACGAGCACTATCAGCATTTGCTGGTTGCCATTCATATTCCACCAGCAGCCATGGCGTCCGTGACAACAATGCTATCGGGAACAAGGAAAAGAGCAAGAGGAGGAAGAGGAAGCAAACAGCCAAACAAGGTGTGCTGTCTCCACCATCAGAGGAGGAATTGTCGACTGGGATGGTGAATAATCTGTACCAAAGTGGTGACCCCCTTGGGCGAAAGGAGCTTGGCCAACGCGTGATCCGATGGCTAAAGCAGGGCATGCACCTAATGGCCTCTAAATTCGCTTCCTCAGATCAGTCAGAGACATTGTGGTTTGATGGCCATATGGGGTTTGTGATGCAGGCACAGGCATGCCTTTCTGCCACTCCCATGCCCAAGGGACAGGAAGCTCTGTGCTTCAAGGCCTCTACGCACTACCCCACGCTCTTCGACAACTTTCAGAGAGAACTCCGTGATGTCCTGCTGCAGCAGCAAGAAGAGGGCCTTGTTCCTGACTGGCGCTCTACACGTTCGTGGATGTTTCTCAAAGAAATAGCTAGATCAGCTGATCATCGGATAGCTGCACGCAGATCTACAACTCCTGTTTTGCACAGTACACTTGGCATAAGCCTGGACAAGACAATGATAATGCAGGCTAAAATAGATGACTTTGTTCAGAAGATGACCGGCCTTCTTCAACTAGAACGAGATGCAGAACTGGAAGTAACCCAGACCACCCAGGATGAGTTGAGTGCCAGTTCAATGATGGATGGAAAGTCAAAGAAGCCAGTGGAGTATTTGGTAACTCATGGTAAGGCCCAAGAGGAGTGTGACACCATTTGCAATTTGAAAGTTATCAGCAGTTCAACTGGTATGTTTTTTTACTCAGTTTTAATTTTTAGTGACACCATTTGAAAGTTCTGTACCTTTATACATGGTTGTTAAGAGTCTTAATTGACATTTGGTCAATGACTCATGTTTCCATTAGTGCAGGATTAACTGGTCAACATCTAGTCTTATTTAGAGTCGAGGGAAGCCACAAACTTCCTCCAACTAGACTCTCTCCTGGAGACATGGTTTGTGTGAGAACGTGCAACAGCCAGGGCGAGGTTGCCAGTACTCCTTGCATGGAAGCCTTTGTCCATAATCTTGGTGAGGATGGATGCAGCATTACAGTGGCATTGAAATCACGCCGCGGTGATCCTACCTTCTCCAAGTTTCTTGGGAAAATTGCGCGTATTGATCGCATACAGGCTCTAGCAGATGCAGTTACATACGAGGTAATGCAATTTTAGCCATGCTTCTATATTGCCTTTGTTCGGTAAATCTCTTTATTTTGAATAGTCAGCAAACCTTTTTTGTTGTTTGTCACAAATAATCCATATGATAGAGGCACCAAATTGATCATCTATGCTGAAGTCAGCTTTCCGTGCATAACACTGTTTCATGGATATCTATTGTTGATATTAAAAGTTAATATGAGTGTAGACCCTCACCCACCATCCATGTTTTTGGGTGCCAATTTCTTCTTATTTCGAAAACCGCCTTGTTCCTTCTAGGTTGGTCAAGTTCCTTTTTATTTATTTTTTGTTGGAATAAAATAACATTGAGTAGGTTGGTCAATATCGAATTGATTGATGTGTAGCTAAAGTTCCTACACTTAATGCTGGAATGGATATCTTTTGGAAATATTTTGTATTTTATGTTAAGCATAATTCAATTCAAGTTGAAGTAGATATGGCATTATGGTCAAAATTCCCAATACTTCATGTTTTATATCATATCGAGACAAAACATTCTTTTTGCGGGGCTTTGCTATGGTACTCCAAAATGATTGTTAACTTTTCATTTAGTTAGATCGGATGGTTATGATCACCTATTACCTCCTAATATTTATTTATATAATTTTTTATTTTGTAAAACATGATAAATGACTGTAAATCTTTTAGTTCATTTTGCTCCGAAGCCAGTTTTCCAACTTTTAAAAGCCAACTCAATAGTTGAGCTGTTTGTTTCAGCTTCTGGCTTTTGGTTGGCAGAAGCCAGATGAAAACCAAAACAAACAGGCTCTAAGGTAATCAGAGTACCATAGCATTGCCTTTTTTACATAAAAATAATTATAACATATAACTATGTATATATTCTTTTTTCAGTGTCGTATATATTGCTGGTCTTCCTAAGATGAAAAGGCCTCAGCCCTGTCTCATTCATCAAAAACAAGACTAGTTCAGTTTACAGTGCATTTGAGTAGCAGCACAAACACTCCCCCTAATTGGTAACCCACAGCAAAACCAGAAGAGGAAATGCCACTCAACACTAAAAAGCACAGATAACCTCCAGACCATGAAGACTTGCACTCATCGTCCTAACCAGAACTATGGAATACAATAGTTACAGAAACTAACAACACAAGAAAGCTGCCATCTGTTAGAACACTCTTGTATTCCTTTCTTTCTTTTTGTTTCTAGTATTCTCAGGGTTTGCTCTGTTATTTGGCTGTTTCTGTGTCACTGGTAGTCATATGTGGAGTGTATGCTGGTGAAGAACACACCTATTTATCTGTGTGAGACATTTAGCTAGCTATGTTTTGTTCTAGTTTCTTTGTAGACCTTGAATACTATTTAATTAAGGAAGTTTGTCTCTGATAAATCACACCAAGAATCCTATGTCTTAAATGATCTGAATTTTGAAATATTATTTATCGAGATGTTCAACCCATTCACCTATGAATATGCTCTGCAGCGCAATTGTGAAGCACTGATGGTTCTTCAGAAGAGAGGGTTACAGAAAAGAAATGCATCCATTGGGGTAGTAGCCACTCTGTTTGGGGACAAGGAAGATGTGATGAAGCTGGAGGGAAATAATCTGATGGATTGTGGTGGATCAGAAGTACCTGATGATGGTTTCTTGGAGAGGCACAGCTACAGCTTTGATACCTCTCAGTCAAGGGCTCTTGCACTGGCCTTGGACAAGAAGAGGCCTGTCCTAGTTATCCAAGGGCCTCCTGGAACAGGAAAGACTCGTTTACTTAGCTATCTTATCACATGTGTTGTGCGCCGGGGTGAACGTGTTCTCGTGACAGCTCCAAGCAACGCAGCGATTGATAACATAGTGGAGAGTTTATCAAGAAGTGGACAGAACATCGTACGAGTTGGAAATCCTTCTAGGATATCTCCATCTGTCACTGCAATGTCCTTGGGAGAGATTGTTACCAAGAGGCTTGAAAAATTCACCCAAGAGTTTGAGAGGAAAAAATATGCCTTGAGAAAGGACTTGAAGCGTTGCATACAGGACGACGATTCTTTAGCTTCAGGTATTCGTCAACGATTGAAAAAGCTCGGCAAGGACTATAAGAATGAGGAGAAGGAAGCAATCAGGGAGGTTCTGTCAAATGCTGAGGTGGTGCTATCAACTAATACAGGGGCAACCGACCCACTTATCAGGGGAATTGGTTGCTTTGACCTGGTAGTTATAGATGAAGCTGGACAAGCAACTGAGCCCTCATGTTGGATCCCTATATTACAGGGAAAGCGTTGCATTCTTGCTGGTGATCACCGTCAGCTTGCACCAGTAGTATTATCAAGAGAGGCTATGGAAGGTGGGCTAGGAATGTCTTTGTTAGAAAGGGCTTCATCACTACATGATGGACTGCTCACTACGACATTAACAACACAATACCGAATGCATGAATCTATAGCTAGTTGGGCATCAAAGGAGATGTATGATGGATTGGTCCAATCGTTTCCATCTGTTGCTTCTCGACTTCTTGTCGATAATCCATTTGTCAAGGTACCAATGCTCTATCCATATATTTCTATAAAGCTAAAATAATTTACCGGTGTAGCTTGTCACTTTTAGTCGATAAAACAAATATGAAGCATGTTTATCCTGTCAAGGCTACACTTACTCACTGTAGATTTTTGTACCACCCTATGCTACATGTTTACTTGCCACCTCTATAAGAAACAGTGCGGCCATGAATTATGTGTTCCTTTTGAATGCTAATAATATCATTACAAAGAAATTTGCCTATAATCTATATTGCGTAAAAAATTCCATATCTCTTGCACATAAACATAGTTGTAGAATGAAGTGTTGTTTCCAGTCCTATATGGTAAATTATAGCACCACAGTTTTATTTCTACAGGGATTTAGTGTAGTTGATTATCTGGTCAAAAGTAGTTTGTCTTATTTAATAGATCAATGAATATTCCATTGTTATTTGCTAATATTGTGTGCTACAAAGTTTTTAGAGAACATGCCTTGGCATGTATTTCTTTAAGAATTTTCGCAAAAAAATGTATTTCTTTAATAGTAGAGTGGTACAACAATGACCAGACAAACATAACTAGAGAGCTAAAACGACAAATATGGAAGCTACAGTCCAGTACTCGTACAACAACTACAATACATCCAAGAACAAGACCAGTCTTCCACAAAAACAGAAAATGGATTCATTAGCATAGAAGGAGCACAGCAACGGTGGACCACAAGGTATAACCTGGACGGAGTTAGGATAAGCACAGACCAATCAGCATCCTCCTGACTTTTCTTTAGATAATGGAACAAAGTTCCAACCTCTACCATCCGCAAATGATACACAGCTAATTGTCGGAATACAAGCCAAAGCCATAAGGCTCACACAAATGCAAAAAAACAAAGTTCAGCCCAAAATAGTGGGTGCACCAAACAAGAAACAAAACTAAGCCGCGAGGCGACCACTCCAACACCATCCCACTAAACAAGCCATCTAGACAAGCGACACATGCCCCTCGAACACATCTGGGCTCCAATTTTAGTTTTGAAATTTTGGTGGTTAATGAACACAAGTGCTTGTGACAATAATGTGTGTTTTGCAGCGGTTACATTCACAATGAACTCACGTGTTGGCCACATGGTTTTCTTGGTCCCGAGAATGTTGTGTATGGATGATAGTTATGGAGCAAAGGATATTCACAAAGACTAAAGACTCTCGGTCAAGTGCAAGTTTGGTTCTTGGAGGCACTTGACTTAGAGTGTATAGAGCTTTGTTTTCCTTTGGCCGTTATTAAGGGGATTCAAGACACGCAACTCGATGGGAGTTTGAGTTGAGATAATTTGGATATGCACAAGTGTTATTCTCTCAGCAAGTCAGAGCCTAAGTGGCCCAATTGGATGGGTTTTAAGTCAAGGATCTCAAAAAAGTTGAATTCGATAAGATTAGACTCAAAATGAGCTTAAAATATGCACTAGAGAATGTACAAATGATTGGGATCAGCCCAACAGATCATTTGGTGGCACTATGAATATACAGTTCAGTTTGAGACTTCGCCCCAATATAGAGTGTGCATGATATAATCAGTTGGTGACTTCGTTACACCCCAAGGATCAACCTGTGAGGCCCTGACTTGACTATGTGTCAAGTGGCCAAATTACTATTATGCACCATGTGATATGGTTGAACTTTGTTATGCCTGGTGAATCATCCGATGACAGTGTGCCTTGATTGTTTATTGATTTGGCCAAGTCACTAGACAACATCATATGGTCTAGTGGTGACTTCGTGATACCCAAAGGTTTATCCGGTGAAGCATATTCTCATGTATTCCCTTTTGATCATTAGAAAACTAGGATGTATAGGATCATTGTATGGTGCGACCACATGTTACCCGATGAATCATCCGGTGATATCTGTGCTTGGAAAGTTTTTGCAATGGCTATCTAAGGCTTCACACCCTGCATGTGTTCCTTTCCTAGCTAATTTGAAGCTGCTATTTCACTCCAATTGTCTATTGAGAGGGTTTGTGAAGTGTGGGAGAGCTAAGCCTAGATTGTGTCTTGTCAGAGTGTGCTTTGTATGCATCCAATATTCTAGGCTTCGATTTCATCAAGCTGTTGTTGATGACATTATTCATAGTGTTTGACAACACCTACACAGTGTGGTGGAGGACTGGGTGACCCTTCCCTATGGAGTTTCTTGTTGGGAGGCTCCTATTGATGTTCAGGATTTGGAACCAACCATTCCATAGTGGAGAATGGGTATTCACTAGTGGAGACTTGAGACTTCATGACTCAAGGGAGAAAAACCTGACTCTCATGACTCTTTGGTGCTCCAACGTAGATTAGGGTGTCGTGGCAATAACCCGATATAATGGGAAAGAATTTTGGTTATCATTTTTGCCTCTTTTATGTTCTTGCATTACTTTAGTACCTTAGCCTTGTGCTTTGCTTCTTGTTGAGTGACAACTAGATTAACTAGCTAGAGTGTGCTTAGTGATACAATTTACTTTCTGCACCTAAGGTTTTTACTATAAGTGTGATTATGAGCTTCACTCGTTGCTTATCTCGTAGGCTGCATCCATCATTGCCAAAACTCTTGGTAGATTTTCTTAGCATGTTCCTTTAGTTTTCTCATTGTCGTTTCTTGTTAAGGACATGTGTAGCGTGATGGCTATAAGGACACTTTAGTGTGATCTTTTTAGCCTTAGGTGTCACTGTGCAAGTGGGTGAAATAGTTTATGCATAGGCTAATGTTGGCATTGCTTTAGATTTTTAGAGTCCAGTTCACTTGCCTCTTGGCCCATTCAGTCTTTTCACCCATCAAACATGTTGAGACCCATGATGACAACCCCAGAGAGCAAGAACTTTGAAGATATTGTCGCTGCCTATCCATAATCTAAACCAAGCTTTCACTCAAGGTCAAAGTCTAACTAGGCAAGTAGGAAGGCACCTCAACAATGCTTCTAAGGAAGAGACCTACATTGTGAGTGCTTTCATGCTGGCCACTAGTAAGGTAAAATGCTAGGCGAGACACTTGATCAGGACTTTCCACTCCACCCAAAACAATGAGGGGGGAGAGAGGCCATAGCTGTATAGCATCATGTGCACACCGTCATCAAGCGTTGTTGTGCACAGCCTAGCCTCCAGCCTATCACACATGTACACCGTCACGTTGCCCACAACTAGATAGATTTGCTGCCGATGTGCCACTCGTGCTACCATCACCCCCGGAGCTGCTGCCAACCTTCCTATGTGCAGCCACAAGAGCCACCAACATGTTGCCAGTGACTCCACATGCTAAATTGATGAGTAAGGGGAGTATATAGAATCCGTCCACTCGTGGCATGGATCTACCCTTCCCTCATGAAGATTTGGCCACCACCATGGGGGTAACTCGCAGTATTGCTAGATCGACGCCCTCGGATGGCACTAGTGTGCAGCCACTGTCGAGATAGGAAATGATGAATCTGGCTACCCATTGCATGGTTTTGTATTCCCCATTTGTAGATCAAGCACTACCATGACACTCCATGCCACTACTGTTGTCAACATGTCATGGTGATCCACGCCACTAGTCTCATCAACAACACGCCAAACAACTAGAATGGAAAAGGAGGAAGGCGGAGGAGAGGGAAGAAAGGAGACTTCATATGGACACTATTTGGTGCACACTAGGTGTTGGTAGTGGTGGTGGTGGTGGGCGGGTGGCAGCCCTCACCCATTGAGACATGATGGATGGTTGGATGCCATCTATTTCGCCCCAAGTCCTCTTGTGCACGATGACACAAGAGTACATGTTTCCCCATTATACTAAAAGTTACTGCTTCCCATTTGTTTTATTGGGGTTGACATTACATTGCCTCATCAAAACCCAGTTACCGGTTTCTGATTTATTACATACAATATTTGTATTTCTCTTTTTTTCCAATCTAAGCAATAAAATAACACAACAAGTGAAATAATAAATCCTGGTTTGACAAATATGTTGATTTCTAATCAGGACGACCAAATCTATGGAGCCTTCCGAGTTATTGCTTAGAGTTCAATGAGAAATTTCAACAGCTATACTTGTTCGGTTGGAGTTAATGGCTTTGTATATTTTTCCAAAAGCCATTGCTTTTTTTCTCTAGTAGTCCCTTAAATTCTTGTCAAATTTCTAGCCTAAGTGATGATAAGTTACTTCTTATTTATTTCAGGCCACCTGGATGACTCAGTGTGCCTTGCTTTTACTTGATACTCGAAAGGCATATGGAAGTCTAAATATTGACTGTGAGGAGAGTATAGACCCAACTGGTACTGGTTCATTTTACAACAATGGTGAGGCAGATATAGTTGCACAGCATGTTCTCAATCTTATACAATGTGGTATGTTCCTGCTTTCTTTAATCATGCTACTATGACCTTATATGCTGAACTTGGCATGCATCTTTTTGTCTTTTTATGTCATTCTTGTTTACTTATCTGAAGTGGTTGACCCTATGAGGGAACAACATAGTCCTAGATGAGAGGAAACAACATATAGTCCTAGATGAGGCCTCAATCTCCCTCCCTCTAGCTTTGTTGAAGAACAATCAATTCACACTAGATAGGAAATCGGAGGGGACCAATGATTTTGGAAGCTAAAAATAAAATTTAACACGCCCCCTCAACACAAAACCTAATTGCACCATATTTTGGATACAACACTATACCTTTACTAAAACTTCAGTCAATCAAAAATCATAACTCTAATTTACCTTAGTGACTTGGAATTTGACATTTCACCGCTTTCCAAAGTTCACATATAAGCCTATCTCAAATTCATAGGGTGGGAGATGGAAATCGATTCTATAGATCACCATTCTATGTTTCTACTTTGTAACTTATAACACGATCTTCAACTCGCTATCCTACGGTAGAAATGCAACACATAAGTATCTCTCTCGTACAGCCAACAATAATATACAAATATAATCCATATACAACCATATTAGCTTAATTAATATATGTCTAAATTATGATTATTAAAATAAATTCAATTCCAAGGATCCAAACATGGCCTTAAGTTTTTATGAATAAACTACATAAAATTTGTGAAGTGGCACAACTGGAATCATGTCAATCTGATTTATAGAACTCAAGATACAAAATAAACAAGCTCATTGTGCTAGATGGTGACGATAATTATTGAAGCCCTAATTAATTTCACAATTAACCAAAATCTATTAATGATTAACCAATGAAACTTCTGATCAATAACATAATGCCCTAGCACAGTTCTAGATAGATCAAAACCAGTCTAAACTTGAGAACAAGAAATCAATCTAAAATCAAAAGTTAGGCATGTAAAACACATAGCAAAGTTAAGAAATAGGAGTACCAACACATCAACATGAGAGAATTGATCTTTATTATTACTTTAATAATATATTCATAATTCACAAGATGCAACACACAAGCATCCATATATAAGGACTTCTGTTGAATCTAAGCCATAAGTAACTGTCATGTTTTTCTATCAAAAAACATATAAGCCTTTATTTGATCTGGTTTCTTTTTTTTTTGGCCGAACACGCATGAGCCCACTAACTCCTAGTACCATTGGATTGCATGTGTGACAGTTCATACATCACCCAGGCCCACATGCCTACTAGCTCCTTAAGCCCTTTCTATGTTCAACCAATGCACCAACATCATGAGGGCAGTCTAGGCCGGCGACTACCTGTAGAACCAGTTAAACCGTCCAAGCCCTCCAATATATTGAGACTAGTCATCACAAATCAAGGTGCACCATGAGCTCTGGCCTGTTTGCATCATGTAGGCCCAAGCCACCCTCATACACACACCCATTCTAAATATCTAAAGGTCATACCACTGTCGGTAGTCCGAATTACCATCCACCAACGGTGAGTCACACACTCGTGCATTGACAAGACTTCATGCGCACTATCCTCTAGCCTGAACGTCCCACATGACATCCTTGACTAATATGACCTATGTTCCTCCTTAAACTTTTCTTGCTTCTCAGCACACTAAAAGCCAGAAAAGTGTATTTTATTTTGCTTTATCACTTTTAATTTGTTTCCTCAAAAACCAACTTTTCATCTTTTCAAAAGCCAACAAAATAGCGCTGAGCTGTTTGTTTCAGCTTCTGGCCTCCTAAATCTAGTCCTGAAACCTCAGTTCCTCCTAAATCTAGTTTCAGTCCTGTCATCAAACATGTCCAATCTCAAGTAACACCTGCACATGGACAAACACGCAACCATCTATGAGCACAAGTCCATGGCTTGACTCAAGTCAATCCACACAATACCTCACATGAGTGTGTTATGCAGCAATACCAAAACCATTACACTACAACAAGTCTCTCCAACCAGCTTGCTATCACAAGTATATCTGAGTAACACATGCATATTACATATACCGAAAATTTCAATCACTTTGCAATACCAATTTCATCCTAAACCAATTTTCATCACATGATATCAACAGTTCATTATCTTTGCATATGCATTATGGGCCGGTAGGAATTGTCTACTGTGTAGTAGTGTCACCCTATTGGTTCTGTGAATGTTGAAGCCAATAACGCATTGAACTAATTTGTGAAGGAGTCTCTCCAACTTCAATTGTTGTTCAGTCCCCTTACATCGCACAAGTACAACTGTTACGGGGAAGACTGGAAGAATATCCAGTGGCTTCCGATGTTGAGGTTTCAACAATAGACAGCTTCCAGGGTCGGGAAGCAGATGCAGTTGTCATATCCATGGTAAGCTCTTTTTCTGGTGCTTTCTGTTTTTGTAATAAGGTGACAAAACATAATATTAAGTTGGCGTACACACCAAGCAATATGTTAATGGGTCACTTCTTGAAATACTGAATGTTTTTCATCCCTCACTTGTGTTAGGTTCGGTCAAACTCCTTGGGAGCAGTAGGGTTCCTTGGTGATAGAAGGCGCATGAATGTAGCTATTACAAGGGCAAGGTCACATGTTGCAGTGGTGTGCGATACTTCTACTATTTGTAACAATGCTTTCCTGGCCAGGCTCCTTCGCCATATCCGGCAGCATGGTCAGGTCAGACATGTGGAGCCCGGTTCCTTGGATGGGGGCTTTGATCCACTAGCCTTACCCTCCATAGGTTAGTTATGACTTGCCATGAAATGTGACGTACTAACTCCATAGGTTAGTTATGACTTGCCATGAAATGTGACGTACTAAATGTTGAGTTCCATGACATCATTGAAAAAATCCTTCTATGCTATCAAAATCAACAAAAATTCCTTCTGTGACATCGAAAATTATGTGTTTCCTTTTATTGCTGTCCATTTATATTTCTTCTTTCCCTAGGTACCATTTAGAGTGACGCTATCACTCCCACCGTCAGGATTTTAGGAGGGGTTTAGGAGGTGCTATGCGAGGGAAGCATTGTGCAGGTGTGCAAGGAGTGGACACAGTCCATTGTCCCATCCATCCCCACCCCCTCACTCTCTCCCCTCGTCTGCCATCCAGCATCCAGCCTTGTCCCAAGGCGATGACGAGGTCGTGGTTGTCGCCGTGGGGCTAGTCCAATGCTTGGGGTCTTGGTGTAGGAGGCCACACCTGGGACGCGGTTGCCTGACTTAAGGAAACCAGCAACCAACTGGACCGTTATGTGCCGGAATGCTATGGTTCACACAGGTCAACCTGTAAAAAAAACAGAGAAATAGAACAAAGAAGATTGAGAGTAGGATGAAGAAACAAACACATGAGCTACAGTAAGGACTCAGGATCAGCAAGCAGCAGGAGATGCACGCCGTTGAACCAAAACTGCGGCCTGGTGGAAATGGACGCCGTAGTTCCTTACAAAATTTTCAGTAGTAACTAGCTACTAAATGCGACTACTAGACATGGTATGGCTCAGTAATATTCAGTAGTTTTTTTTGTCAGTTTTTGTTAGTATATTGACTTAAGGGTAGACGAAAAACATTTAGAACATGCTCTTGCAACATGGGTGAAGAACATGAACCATCCAAAAAAACACTTAACTTGCAACGTGAAACCACTTGCTGCAACATAAGACTGAAACAACCGAAACATTTGGAACATACTGCTGCAACATATGCAACATCTAGATAAAAAACGCTTGCAATATGCTTCTGGAAAACGATGAAACATTTCGAACAAACGCTTGCAACATGTCTTTGAAACACTTGCAACATATGCAACATGTGCAACATCCCTCGATCTACTTTTGCAACAGCAGGATGAAACAATTGCAACATACATCTGAAACGCCTGAAACACTTGAAACATACATATGCAACATAGGGGAGGGGAAGGTCAGGCCTGTCGATTCCGGCCGTCAGGGTCAGAGCCGGCGGTGAGCCGCGGCACGTGAGCACCACCAGCACCGCCCGCGCTCGTGGGTTTCCTTGGCTCGGCCCGAGAAGACCTGAGGCGCCATGGCACATGTGCCCCAGCGGCCATGGCGGGGTCAGAGGCGTGCGCGGCGGCGATGGGAGACAAACGGACAGACGGCGAGGGAGGAAGCGGCACAGGAGTTTGGGACAGGTGCACGGTGCGGGCGACGATGGGGCGCAGGGCGGTGGGGTACGGCACAACAGCCGACGAGGGCGCGGTGGGGGAAGGGGCGCGGATGAATGAGCGGCCACGCTACTGCGTCGTGCACCGGGCAGATAAGGATAAGTGAGTGGGGATTCATTTTTCTATTTCTGAGAGAGATGGAGAGATGTGGCCCGCTCCTGCATGGCCCGCCACTGCCTCCTTCACCCTCACAGGACGGTCAAGTGGCATTTACCTAGATTTAGCAGTGGGGATTGGCGGCAATCCTGCAGTAGCGCAGGCAGGGAAAGGGTGTGGAGCGACGTGCAAGGCAGTGTCATCCTGTTATGTGGGGATTGAAGTATGAATGGTGCAGGCGCTATTGTCTGATGATGCATAGGAAAGCGGTTCAAAATTCAGAGTTGTGGTCGGTTTGGCTGGCATTCAAAAGTTTTGTTATGGAAACAGTTTAGTTCAGGTTTGTTAAGGAGATAGGGTGTATTAAAACATCAATTCTTGCACATTCACCAGTAGACTGTTTCTATGTGGCTGGCATGCCTTCCAGTGAGCACCCTGTTTTTCCTACATTTGGCACTAGCAAATGAGACCGGGTCTTGCAATAAATTACTACGTATGTGATATGTATACTGTAAAAGAGACGAGAGAGAAGAAGCATCAAGCTAGAAAGAAGAAGACCATGCATACGTACCTACTAAGGGGGTGCATGTACAAGAGACACGAGAGAGGATGCATCCGCAGGAACCAGTTCTATAAACAATCTCCAAGAAAAAGAGAGTCCGTGGAGCAGGCACGAATGAGAAGCAACCAGAGCGCTTCCAACGAGCCACGAAGTTTCCATGAATCCAGCAAACGAACTTTTCGAAATGAAAATTTTTGGTCACCTCGCCAGGAGCAGGCTCATACTCATTGTCCTGAAGCAACCAATCATGCGCGGGGGGGCAATGAAATTGTTAAGTGTAGCAAGGTAAAAGGGAAACAGAGTGTGACAGAACGACAATTAGATTCCTGAAAAATCCAACGGACTTAGTTTTCATGTGTCAAACGGAAAAGAAACAACTTTGTACTATATATGTGTCAGTGAGTGATCTTTTATTGCAAAGTTTTAGACCCAACTGAAAGAGATGACAGTAATGATAAGAAAGGAAAGGCCAAGTGACAGGGTATAGATCAGGAACCGGATGTAGAGTGTTGTAGTGGTTCAGACAATCCGTCGCAACCTGGCCATCCATAGCTAATCGCTCAAAGTAGTCTGGCCTTCTGGATCTAATAATAAATAAAGAGAACAGAACAACATTGAGCATGTGATATGATCATCGAAAACAAAGGAAAACAGGAGCAGGCGGAGCGGAATCGGATGAAGAACAGGAGCAGGCAGAAATCAGAATCATCGGATAGGCGGAGATGGGTTTACTTGCGAAGCATCTCGATCTGTTCATCGTCCAGGGGCTGGCCGACGGGGATGGAGTTGCGATCCGGCCCGAGGAATGGGAGCCGCCGCCACCACGGGAACAGCGCGGGTGGGACTCTTTTAATGATGCGCTTCAAACTCTCCATATACTCCTTCTTGCGGGCGCGGACCACCGCCCTCTCCACGGCGGCGGCGGGGAGTGGGGCGAGGGGAGTAGTCTCCTTCTCCGCATCCGCGTGATGCAGGGCCTCCCTGGACGCGGCCATGGCTGGTGGCTGCCCCTCCGCTCCGATCCGATCGGCTGCGGCTGCGACCGCGATTGCGGGGAGAGGAACAACGAACAAGTCGGTTCCGTTAATGGACACACTGGCGGCCCAATCTCCTCCCTGGTCGAACATGGAAAATCATCACGTCCAGCAACCTCGTCCATGCGCTGCCGTCCTCTATGGCTCTATATGCTCCGATGTCCAGAATTCTGACCAAATACACTCGGTCCTGTCGAGGTTTAACTTTTTAACCGAGTCTATTCAACGACCATGTGTTTTAATAAAATATAGCACATAGTTGTTTGCTAGCTACAAAACACATAATTTGTAACAGAGAAAAAAATATGTGTTTTAGCACAAGCTAGCGCATAGTTGTTGGTTGCTTGCATAACACATTATTTTCAAGAAAAAAGAAACCATGTGTTTTACCACGAGGTAGCACACATTTTTAAAGAAGGCCCACGAGAGGAAATTTATTATAATTTCTGTGCAACCAAAGTTGGCCCATTAACTAAAATAACAAAATGGTCCATTTAATAGCAGCAGTCCATAAGATAAGCCCAAAACCATGAATACATAGGAATATAACTAAAATTACAAATTGACCCATTTAACAATAGCAGCTCATAACAAAAGCCCAAAACCATGAATATACAGGAATATAAAGATTTGAGAGAGAAGCCAACCGGAAACAAATCTACGTGGGGGAAGCCTCTGCTCTGCTCACGCAGGGCAGGGGAAAGGAGGACACGTCAGATTACAAAGAAGAATAGGAAATTTCAAGGAGAACTAGAAGACTGATCCATACCTCATCAGCAAAGGTTAGCATCCCAATCTTTTGAATCTATTTTCTGAAAAAGCAACAAAAAAAAACAATAGCAACTCAGATCAAACTCTAGGAGAATGTAAATCCATGGAAAAGACGTCACATCATTGTTGCGGTACCAAACTATCAAGCGCGTTCTTGTTTCCCCTCAAATAAATTGCCCAGCTGCAGCTCGAGTTGCTCGGGAGTGTGCTTCACGTATTTTCCAGGTGCTTTGCTATTCTCGATGAGAGGCCTACAAATGATCAGAAAATAATATGTTTAAGCACCACGAACATGAAGTAGAAGGAATACTGCAGGTATCATTTAGAAAAAATAGCTAATTCCTAGGCTCATAGGTTAACTTTCAACAAGTAACAAGGAGTCAGAGCAGCATACCCAAAATGTTTTATGAAAGATCGGTAGGCAGGCAACAGGATTTCAGTAACTGCAAGTCTTAGTGACTCGCGCAGCTCAGTGTCTGGAACAGACCAGCCACATTGCTTCTGGTAGATCTCTTCAAATAACACATTGAAAGACCTGAATCTGATAGCACCACAGGAAGAAACCAAAAACATGATAATACTTCACAACTTGTACAAGAAAGCAATCCTCAAATAATTATAGTATCAGACTGACCTCTCCTTCACAGCCGCTCTTGAAGCTCCACTGCTATTGCCACCATCACTTCCTACCTGACCACTACCACCTGATGAAGTCAAACCTCGACCAGAGAGGCATTGCAACACCTGTAACATCAGACCAAATAAATATAAGGTTATCCACATGGATAGTATCTACATATACTAGTTTCATTTTCCAGGTGATATTATCACAATGCATGTACAAACAGACCAAGTGGTGCTGCAAGCAATGTTGACTTGTTGAGAATAATCCTATTCCTAAACATTGCCTACTCAGTCAGGAAAGTATTAAAAAACAACGCTAACATGAAAATATTATCACATTTTGCTTGTGCTTGCTTCAACAGCAGGGCGTGGCCCTAGTTGCTCAGTGTGCACAAGAAGCAGGTCCAGCACTTGGGGGTTCAACCAATTATTTCGATCACACCCTAGTTCCTCAACCAATTATTTGCAGAGAGCGTAGTGCAAAACTGAGGGCATGAGATCACACACACATGTAGCTAGCAGAAATCAAACACACACGCACAAATCGAATTTTTTGGGCCAATTTTCTAAAAGTAATTCTGCAGCCACATCAACAAGCCACTCTAAATCCTGTCCCTGTTCATCAGAGAACTACTAGCTAGCTAGCTCTAGTTGCATAAGAGATGGAAAATTGCAACTAAGGTACTGGTGCACACCTGAAAACTGAACAAGCAACTCCTTAGGAAAATCGAAGATGCAGAGTAGTAGCTTCTAGAACTCAGGGCCAAACTAAAAACAGTAGCCAAGCTGCTGCTAGGACTGCTGTGCTGTTCCTGAACAAGACAAGCATAGCCACACCACTCAGCAATTCTCAACTAATCCTCAACTAAAATTACAAATATATCTCTTATGCATTTGTTATATTCCTATTGTAAATAAATTACAGAACAAAAATAAGAAAATTGTACATTTGACATAGTGCAACTTGTACTTGCTGCTAATGCAATTATACTATACATGTATACAATTTAAAGATCCGGCTCATGCAACTTGGACACGCAAAGCTGGGCAAAAGGGGCAGAGATCAGATCGAAGAGGAACCACAAACCTCAACAGCCAAGGTTAGTACACCGATTATTTGAATCCAATCTCCTTGTGTGTGTTAGATGCATGGAATATGTAATGATGAGATACCTTCTAACTGTCAAAACATAAAATCTAGATGTTATAACAGAACATGAATCTAGAAAGAAGAACAAGGCAGCAAAAAATGTCAGAGGTACAATATCAGATTCAGAATTATGAGGAAATGATTCGCCAAGAAGAAAGCAACAATGATGTAAAATTACTCCTAATTCAAAACAGTTGACACAAACAATAAATAAATGAGAATTAATGGCTTCTTCATTTTCTTGCAGGTTTCAAGCTGCCACAAGCACATGCAGCTATTGGAGATCACACTGGTACACTATTATAGAGAAATTATTATGAGCAAATATCATGCACAAAAAATAGAAAAACTTCTACATAAAATAACGAGGAGTTTAGCTTCTGGGGTATGTATTATATTGATATGCAAGGAAAAGGACAAAAATGAGATGTGTGTTGGCACAAATTAAAATTAACAAAGTTCATGAAGTGTTAGCACAAATCACAAGAGACAATTTTTTTTCTATGAAAGGACAAGGACATAAACTTGACTTGGGCAAGCACAAACCACAATAAACAAAGGAAAAGGTGAGCTAGCACAAATGACAAGGACAAAAAAGAGGTGTGTGTTGCCACAAATCACAATTAACAAAGTTCAAGATGTGTTAGCACAAATCACAAGGAACAATTTTATTCTATGAAATGGCAAGGACAAAATTTTGATGTGTGCTAGCACAAATCACATTTTTTTATCCAATCTAGAATGTAGAAGTAGCAATGATGTAACCACTTAAAAACCCTGTGCAAACAGAGAATAATGCAGCAAGCACTACAAGTTTAACACAGAGGAAAAAATAGTGTCGAGGTAAACTTACCAATTGATATGGCGGTTGTGCTCCTTTGGTACCTGAAATAAAGTCCCACGAAATCTCTTATGAGCAGGAAAGTTTCATAACAAGACAAAAGTTCGCAAAAGTTTTTTTGAGCCTCTGCTTGGTATACTTACACATATGAGAGCGAATGCACCGGCTCCTACAGGTCATTTGGTTTGAAGTCTATGTCATCATGCAGGATGTGATCGTAGTCCCCTGGCCAAAAAAACATGCACTTAGTTCTATCAATTCACGGAAATAAGGTAAATAATGTCTACCTAGGCTAACTTACAACAGCAGAACCAAGTTTAGTGAAATCTAGATACACACTGAAATGAGGCGACAATAGCACAAGCCATAACGAGGCGACAACAGCAGAACCAATTTTTTTATGTTTGCTCTTATATGTATTTCAGGTGTGAAGGCCCTTGGCAGTTTAAATCGAAACACAGTTGCTTTTGTGTGGCATCATAAATGCAGGACATTTCTCATTTTAGACCAAACTAGTAACAGATCCAAAACGACACAAATTGACTGCAGAGCAAATCCTAAGGCACTAAAATTGCATATGGTTACTAATAGGCAACCCCTGCAAGGAAAAGGGACATATTGCATATCCTCAACACGAAAATTGCAGGGCTAGAAACTTGCAATTTACGTCATTGCTGATTGCAATTAACTGAATGTTTTATTTGTTTTGTTTTTATGAATAGGAAAGATTAATAGGAACAGAGCACTACGACTACTATGAACAAGAATAATAAACAAAAAAAACAGTAATATACTGTGGATGCATCTTATTTATGCAGTAGTGCACCAACATAACTTTAAAGTAGTTGGAGCATATTTTGCAAGCTGTGTGGTTTTCTAAACTCAAAATTGAGTATTCTGTAGGTGAGAAAATACTCTATTGGTAGTTTCTAGATAATAAAATCAACAAGATTCGAAAATCACCAATAAAGATACAGGTCATGGTAAACTAGATTTTATCGAGACATGAAATGTACTCACAATTGCTTAAAATGCAGGCCTCAAAGCAGCCATCTCATAGTTGCAACAACTTGTAGAATGGACATTGCAGGACTTTAGCAAAGATGATAGACACCCAATGTTTAGAAGAATAGATGCAGCTGAAAATTGATGTATACAATCTTACCAAGGGACAATATGTAGTAGTAGTACATTACATCTCAACGGTCTGCAGCTTGAGGATCATCACAAGTAAACTTAGAATTTTTTCCAATACATATCATCACAAGTAAGCTCCATTTGATCTTGGACCTAGACGATCTGAGGTTCCCTTACCAGGAAGTGTACTCCATGACAAAGCAACTTCCATTGTACCAACCAACTTAGATGCATGCCTTGCTTGTTTAGCTTTTCAAGGGGCAACCTAGCATCAACAGCAGCTCCAGCTACCTGTGAACCAGATAGGCCAATATCACAATGTAGCTCCAGCTACATTGTGAGTTGTTAGTCATTTCATTAAGATATGAGAAAAATAAGGGAGAGGGCATAGGACCTATTCCAAATACACTCAACTCACACGCCCACACCTAAAAAATG